ACGTTAAAGTGTGGCACATTAAAGTGTGGATGATGGGTGGTGGTTGGGTGGTTGGGTGGTTGGGTGGTTGGGTGGATGGGTGTGTGAATGAACGGATGGATGGGTAGGTAGATGGATGGATGAATGGGTTGGTGGGAGGATGGATAGATGCATGGTTAGGTGGATGGGTGGGTGAATGGATAGGTGACTGGGATGGGAAGTTGAATGGGTGGATGGATGGATGGGTGGGTAAGTAAACTGACGAACAGGTTAGAAAACTGAGGAATAGAATCATTGTTCTGCTTGTGAGAAGTTCATCTCCTTTCTTCAGAAATGCTGGAATTTCCACGTTTTCTTTCCGCAGTCTTTGACAAGGGTTCCACTGCAGAACAAGATTCGGCTATAAATACCTCTTCCTTTCCTGAGGAAAAACAACCCCTCTTTCTTCTTTCTTGCAAGTGACGCGAAACATTTCACATGGCCCCAAGCAGATCTAGCACCTGAGGGTCAGGAGCTGGGAACTCCACCAAACACACACATCATTAAAGTTCTCCTGAAATCAATGTAGCCCCTGCTTCATGACCATGAAGAAAGAATTAAACAAACACTGAGAGGGGAGAGCTCATTATCCAGGACTGCTTGACAGCTCAGGAAGAGTGCAGCTACATTTGAAGCCAATTAAGAGGCCCCACGCTGGCCATCAGCAGCACATGAGAGACTGGACTGTCCCCCAGCACATAGTAGGCACCTTGTAAAATGGGTCACACAAATCAACAGGGTCAGATGAGCAGCTTCACCCATGGGGCTCTGCCTGGGGTCCCCCTGGGCCGTGTGTGACACGGGCTACAACACTCAGTGTCCAGGACAATGCGTGACATGCAGAGCTAACAATCTACACCAATGACAAGTGCCAATGACTCCGTCATGTGTTTTCATTTAACAAGCACCTCCTGAGCACAGGCTTCCCAGGCACCACTGAAAGGGCTTCACAACGATTAATTCACTGAATCATTGCAGCAAACTCACATGATAGGAGCTATTATCACCCCCTTTTTGAAGATGAAGAAACTGGTCAGGCGCCGTGGCTCATGCCTATCATCACAGCAATTTGGGAGGCTGAGATGGGAGGATCGCTTGAGTCCAGGAGTTCAAGACCAGCCTGGGAAACATAGCAAGACCCCATCTCTAAAAAAAAACCATAAAGAAAGAAAATAAAAGATGAGGACACCAAGGCACAGAGATCCAACACATGTTAAAGTGTGGCACCAGGATTGGGGCTAGACCATTCTGCTCAGAGACTAGGGAGCAGAGAAGAGGGGCATGAGAACATATGTCTCACCACAGCTACTTACACACAGCCCTCATCTAACCCGTCCCAAACCATGTGACATGGATATTCCCACACCCAACTTCCCATGGAGGAAATTCAGCTGCGACGCTCAGGAGACTTGCCCAGGGACACTCTTTGTAAAAGGTAAAGCCTGCATTTGAACTTGGGACCCTTATTCCCTGAGCTGCAGAGCCCCACCCACCGCAAGGGGCAGATTCGGAGCCACCTGTCCAGCCGATACCCCGTAGCCCCTGGTGGCCAGTGAGCACTTGAAACGGGATCGGAGCCACATGGTGAAACATAGTTCATATAGACTGAGTTAAACACTATATATTATTCCAGTTGAGTTCACTTGTTTCTCTTTTTTTTTTAGGGTGCTCACTGGACAGTCATTTATTTGTTTGTTTGCTTGTTTTGAGACAGGATCTCACTCTGTCGCCCAGGCTGGAGTGCAGTGGCACAGTCATAGCTCATTGCAGCCTCGACCTCCTGGGCTCAAGCGATCCTCTTGTCTCAGTCTCCCAAGTAGATGGGACTACAGCCATACGCCACCATACCTGGCAAATTTTTGACGTCTTTTTGCAGAGACCTAGCCAGCCCACCAGCAGCCCACGTCCCCCTCCTCACAGCGCTCCAGCTCAGGCCCACCCCGCCCTCTTGTTCCCTGTCTCTACGCCAGCTCTCAGCAAGGCCGCCAGAGAAAGGCATCTGTATCCCAACCAGGTGGGCAACTTCGAGCCTGGACCCCAGGTCCCAGGAAAGCCCCAGGGCCTTCCCCTAACGTCGGGCTCATGGTGTGGTCTCCATCCCTGATCATGGTCCAGGCTTCCGTCTGCTCCAGCCACACGGCGCCAGCCGTGCCCACCCTGGAGGCCTTTGCCCTCTGCCCGGCACCCTCTCCCCCTGGTGCCCCTCCCCACCTGCTCCCCCTCCATTCCATCCCCTGCCCAGGGTCCCTCTTCAAAAGGTCCCCACCACCTTCCCAAGTCAGTCCCTGCCTTGCCAGTGTCCGACATCGCATGTGTCCAGGGCTGTCTGGATAGTCTACAGCCTTGGTGTCAGGCCTGCCGGAGGGAAGGATGGCATCTGTGAAGAGGCACCCCTTGGTCCTCAATTTCATTAACACCTAATAAAAACTGGAGGTGCTGGAAGCTCTGGCCACTGCCTTCCCAATACATCAAAGTTCACCACTCCCAGTTGGGTATGATGGTTCATGCTTGTAATCCCAGTACTTTGGGAGGCAGAGGCAAGAGGATTGCCTGAGTCCAGGAGTTTGAGACTAGCCTGGGAAACAAGGCGAGACCTCATCTCTACAATAAAAAAAAATCAGCTGGGTGTGGTGACGTGAGTCTTTGGTTCCAGCTGCTTGGAAGGCTGAGGCAGAAGGATTGCCTGAGCCCAGCAGGTCAAGGTTGTGGTGGCTGTGAGCGTGCCACTGCACTCCAGCCTGGGTGACAGAGTAAGACTCTGACTCAAAAAAGAAAAGAAAAGAAAAGAAAAGTCTACCACTCCCAGTCCTCAGGGCTCAGAGCACAGCATGTTGTAGCCTGTTGACCCTCCGCATCTCACACCCGAGTGTGGCCTTGTCCCTGTCAGCACACCCAGAGAGACATGTGACCTGCCACACTGTGGTCGGGGTCTTCCCTAAGGCCAAACCGACCTCTGCTCACCCAGCCTTCTCCTCCTTACGTGGTGACCATGCCCGTCGGCTGTCAGTAGCAGGGAAGGGATGGACAGAGGCTTTTTCCACATGTGGTAGCATCATGCACACACCAGCGAGGGAGCAAGGAGCTGCCAGGCCTTCATGGCATGTGGGACACAGATCAACAGGCCACGGTGGCCACGTCTCTGCCTCCCAGGCTGTGATGCCCACTGCCCCCTGGGGGACAGGGTCATTGACCCAACAAAGTCCAATACTGCAGTACATGTACAGGAGCTTAAGACTATTCGGGCTTAATAAGGGGTGCTCTGAGCCAGGCACGGTGCTCACGCCTGTAATCCCAGCACTTTTGGGAAGCAGAGGCAAGAGGATTGCCTGAGCCCACGAATTCAAGACCAGCCTGGACAACATGGCGAGATCTTGTCTCTACAATACATAAAAAAACTAGCTGGGCTTGGTGGCGAGCACCTGTAGTTCCAGCTACTTGGAAGGCTGAGGTGGACGGATCACCAGAACCCAGCAGATGGAGGCTACAGTGGCCATGAGCATGCTGCTGCACTCCAATCTGGGCGAGAGTGAGACTCCAACTCAAAAAAAGAAAAAAGGAAATGTCCAGAAATGGGCAGATCCAGAGAGAGATTCCAGGGGCTGAGGAAGACAGAGAGAAGGAGTTACCGCCTCATGGACACTGGGCTTTTTTTTCTTTTTTTAAATTTCAATGGCTTTGGGAGTATGAATGGTTTTTGGTTATATGGCTGCCTTGTATAGTGGTGAAGAAACCGGGGCTTTAAGTGTGTCATAGGGAGGGGACTTTTCATCCCTTTCTCGACTCCCTTCTGAATCTCCAGTGTCCACTGCATCATCTTCATGTCTTTGTGGGTCCTTAGTTTGGCCCTCACTTGTGAAAACATGCGGTGTTCGGTTTTCTGTTCCTGCATTATTTCACTTAGGATGATGGTCTCCAATTCCATCCAAGTGGCTGCAAAAAAAATTCCTTCCTCCTTGTTTATGGCTGAATAGTACTCTCTTGTGTCTATGTACCCATTTGGCACAGGGTTTCTTTTGATGGTGATGAAAGTGTTCTGGAATCCGCAGTGATGGTTACACAACATAGTAAATAGATTTAAAGACGACTGAGTTGTCTACATTAAAAGGTGAATTTCGGCCAGACTTGATGGCTCAGCCTGTAATCCCAGCACTTTGGGAGGCCAAGGCGACTGGATTGCCCTAAACCCCACGGGTTTGAGACCAGCCCAGGCAACTTGGGGAGAACGCCTCTCTACAATAAATCAAAAAAGAAATTAGCTGGGCATGATAGTGCATGCCTGTAGTTCTGGCTACTTGGAAGGCAGAGGCAGAAGGACTGCCAGAGCCCAGCAGGTTGATGCTGGGGTGGCTGTGAGTGTGCCACTGTACAACCTGGGCGACGGAGTGAGACTCCAGTTTTTTTAAAAAGTGAATTTCATGATATGTCAATGATATCTCAGATTTTAAACTTCAATCCACACACAACGTTAGGCTACTGAGCATAAGACCCACCTGACACAGATGCTCACGCCATTCAGACCCTCATTCAGTGGCTCTGCTGTCCCTTGGCACTGGGAAATGACAGAAAGGTGCCCTCCCCCAGGGACAGAGATGGAGAACAAGTCCCTCCGTTAGGAAGGGAAACCAGAGGCTACCATGTAGGAAGTAGCCAGTTTTGGACAGGCTAGGGATGGGAACTGGGCATGTCTCACACCTGTCATCCCAGCACTTTGGGAGGCCAAGGAGAGAGGATTACTGAGGCCAGGAGTTCAAGACCAGCCTGGGCAACATAGCAATACCCCATCTCTGCAAAAAATGAAAAAATTAGTCAGGTGTGGTGGCATGCACCTGTAGTCCCAGCTACTTAGGAGGCTGAGGTGGGAGGATTATTTGAGCTTAGGAGTTCAAGGCTGTGGTGAGCTATGGTCACACCCCTGCACTCCAGCATGAACAACAGAGGAAGACCCTGTCTCCAAAACAAACAAACAAACAAAAGTGGCCAGCTTAGAGCTTCACAAATAATATTTATTGACATTCATAACAACATCTCCCAACTCCACTACGACTAAGAATCCCTGATGATGAAGAATTTGGATTGGATCTAGGGTATTAATTACATCATATGAGAAAACAGCGGACATCACAGAGTCTTCCTGATCTGGGGACTTTCCTTAAAGTCTTGATTGTCCTAACACTCTCACTGATGTTCTTGACAGTCGCTGAACATTCCAACTTCACACCCCCCAAAAGTGACTGGAAAGCAAAGAGAAAGGCAGTTACTGGGACCGTTCCCAGGCTGGGGCCACAGTGCCCTCGGCATGCCCTTGGCAGGAGCCTCCATGGAGCAAAGGCAGAGGTGCCCCATGTCACAAGGCCCGAGGAGTCCCAGGCAGGGACAGGGTGCAAAGACTACCAGGCTATGTGGGTCTCTCTCAGCCCTGGGCTGGAGGGAAAGACTCTGATCTGGTGCTCCATCCCCAGCCCACCAGAACAGTCTTGGCCAGGCCCTGAGAGGTACTGGGTGCATGGCCCGGGGTCTCATGGGCACCCACAGGCCCACGCTGATGGGATGGGTGCCCCATGAGGCTGAGTGGTACCTGCACCTCTGTCCACGAGCTCACCCAGAAGCCAACACGTGCCTCCTGCATCACAGAGGGTAGGCTGCCAGGTCTTTCTAGACCAGAGGTGGGTGGGGGAGACGGCCAGGGCTGCAGGTAGCAGGACCGGGATGGAACCCGGACACTGCACACATGTGGGTGTATCCCTACCCCCACCCCC